CCCCGTCTGTTTGTCTCCATTTATTGTCACTTGTCCCACCGGTGAGTGGATTCTCTCGGTGTTCCTACAGCACCGGGCGCAGATGGGACCTGGCCCGAGAGCGGTCCTACACGGGCACTGCTGCTACCCCGACATGTTCCACGGTCCGAGTCTCTTACCCCCTCCCCCGGCTCTGTGGATCTCGAGAGTCAATGTAAAGGAAACCCCGCCCCACCAAAACTCCATGGATCAGAATCTTCGGTGGATCTCAATATTCCCTGGCCCGGAACCCTGCAGATCTTAATGTTCCAAAGACTGGAACCCCGTGATTCTCGACGTTCCACAGCCCAGAACCCATGGATATCAGTGTTCCAAGGAGTAAACACAATGCTCCATGGATCAAAACCCTCAGTGGACTGCAACATTCCACCTACTGGAACCCTGTGGATCACATTTCACGGACCGAAACCCCATAGATCATAACATTCCATGCACCAGAACCCCACAGATCTCAATGTTCCATGGAACTGAACACCTTGGATCTTAACGTTTCACGGACCAGATCCTCACAGATCCCCGGTATTCCATGGATCGAGCCCTTGCGGAACTCATGGCTCCATAGATCAGAACCCTCAGTGGACCCACAACATTTTACAAACTGGAATCCCGGGGATCTCAAAGTTCTGTGGACTGGAAACCCGCGGATCTCAACATTCCATGGATCGGAACTACCCGGATCTCAAAGCTTCTACTAACCGGAACTTCTCGGATCTTCACCTCAATGTCATCCCACCCCCTCCAACTCCCATTTCTAAGCGGGAGCCAGACCAGAACTGATTTCATGACTCAATCTCTGATTCATCGATTCATCCCAGAACGGCTGGGCTCAGCTCTCAGGCCAACTTCACGATCCTTTCGCCCATAATCCCCACGCCTGGCTCCACGAGGAGGGCGTCCCTCATCATCCCACCCCACCGAACCCCCTTCCCGGACCCCCGAAAGTCACCTCCACTAAGAACACCACTGCCTCCTCCGCCGGATAAAATACTTTTGAGTCCACATGCACGAAGCAGGGAAATTCCCGGCAGCCCACAATGCATTGCGCGGTAGCATTGTCCACGTGACAGTAGCCCCTGAGGCCACAGGCGCCATCTTTATTGTGGGCAAAAAAGGAGCGGTGGAGAGAGTCTGCTGATTTCTGAGACCATGGAGGCCTGGGTTCTCTCCCCGCTTCTGGAAGGGGAATGAGACCTCGCGGTTAGAGCAGGGGAGTTGGGAGCCATGATGCCTGGTTTTTTTTTTCTGGCTCTGGGAGGGGGGTGAGGGCTGGAAGCCAAGATCTGTGGGTTTTAACCCACCACACCCCGCTCTGCTTCCCGAGAACCCAGGAATCCTGACTCACATCTCATTAGTATCCACAGGCTGGAGCAACTCTCAGCGCTGATTTCCCCTCCTTAACCTGGCGAGTGTTTGTGTCCTTGTAACTAAGTGGTTTGTGAGGGAACATTCACCCTAACATGTTGCCCAGTAGCTGCTTGCCTCCCTTCCCCCAAAACTCCCAGAGGTGGGATTTCCCCCAGGCAGCCAGATCCTGGCATCATGCCCATCCACAGTGCTGGGGGCACGTAGGCAGGATTTGCCAGGCCATAGCAGGGGAGGTGTTGGCTGGGAGCACAGACTGTGTAAATTACTGTGCTAAATAGATTTCAGGGCAGGAGGCTGAACGGTCACATCCTGTACCTGCTGGTCCTGCTTGGCCATGGAGTGCATCATCTGCCCGGCCCAGATTGCTGACTGTGACCGAATCATGGCTATGATCTGTGTGTATGTGTCCATGGGCCTGCTGGGGGTATTGAGACTCTGGAGTTCCCTTCCTTGCTTCTCCGGTGGGTCTTCGGCATTGCTTTGCACTTCAGTATCCTCAGAAGAGAAGAATCAGCTGTGCTCCGTCTTGCTCTATTAATCCTCGATGCCTTGCCTTTGCCAGCCATCCCTACACTTCTCATTGATCTAACTAGCCCCACAGCGTAGAGCTCCCCCCATACTGAGTCTCACTCATTTCTAGGGTCTCTGATTCTGTTTTTCCCCCACAGGAGATTGCTGAACATCATAACCTGCTGAAGGAGATCAAAACAAAATCAATGCCCAGGGTGAGCCAAAGAGGTAAAACTCATTTTGACCTCCCCAGCTTTCCTCAGAAACCTCCCCCAAATCGTCCCCCCAAAATTCACCCCCAATTGATTCCTTACATTCCCCCAGATTCCTCCTTGACCCCTGAATCCTTGCTTCCACCTCCAAAAAACTCCCTCCATCCTTTGCCTCTCTGTTCAATTGCTCCCTATAGTGCTGAGGTCTAAGGGATTTGGAAGTGACCCCTTCTACCAATGTATTCTGGTGGAACTGGCCCCAGAACAAGAAGGCAAATAAGGTAAACAAATTCATCGCTCTCAGCAGCTTGTCCCAGCTTGCTTGCTCCGGGATCAATCAGGATTCAAAGTCACTCTGATGTCAATCTGGAGTCAATCCATTGACAGGGCTGCTTTCCCCTCTCACTCTGGTGTAATCAGGAGTCACTCCACTGGTGTCAATGTGGTCAATTGCCATCTCATTCACTTTGGTGTCAATCAAGGAGTCACCACTGGAGCCAGTGATCTGGATCCTAAACTGGTGTGAAGCCAGAGTAGCTCCGTTCAATTGCAGTGTTGTCCCAGCCTAAACCAGGACCAAACATGCCTCTCACTGACCCCAGCTCCTGTGTGGTGGACCTCCCCCTCATCCATCCTAAAGTGTGAACACTGGCCGCATTGTCTTCCTGGAGAATCTATATGTGGTCTTTGAGTTCAGAAGTAAGGGGCCATGCTGCATCCTTTGGGGAGTGAGCCATCAGGAGGGGGAGGGAGGAAGATGGAGAACAGAGTGAATCAGAAGTGAATTAGCACCAGTGTGACTCCAGTGGAGTCCTAATTGACACCAGAGTGGAGCAAACAGCAAGAATCAGCCTTGGAATGAAGAGAGAAGTAAGGTTTCTACTGTGAGATTTCTTAGCCAAAGATTAAGGCCAGCTGCTATCTCACAGCCCCAGAAGACTCCTCCCCTGTCTGTTCAGGTTATGGCAATAAATCTGCTGGGGGGGGGGGTTATCAGTGGTTAATGAGCCAGACAACTAGGATGTGGAACACAAAGCAGGGAAATGTGACAACCCCCCCTGTAGGGAAGCTGTGCTCTACTAATGCAAACTTCCTAGTGTCAATTAGGTGTCACTCCACTGGAGTTCACAGAGCTGGTTCCTCTTGCTCAATACAGAGTCAGTCCGAAGTCACTTCACAGAGCTGGTTCCCCTGTCACTCAATCTGGTATCAATCAGGAGTCACTTGATCAGGGTCAAATTTCAAGGCTAGTCTCCAGTTTCTCACTCACTCACAACAATGTGTGCAATGCTATTCTGTAGGAAGCACCAGGTTTGCTCCACTTTTGGGAGCTGTGGGTGGAGGAGGATGTGGATTGGGGGAGGAGGGGTGAGTGGTCAGGGCCCATATAGACCTGAACAAGCTGTAACTGTTTTGCTGGGCTTTGGCTTCCCAAGCTAGGGAATCGGGAAGAAGCTGTTAAATGAAGTGGCTAAGGTAAGATTTTTGCCTTCTCCCACCACAGTCTCTGGCCAACTCCCCAGTGAGGGAAGGGGATTGGAGAGTCGTGTGGGATTTGGGTTGGAATGTTGTGGAGTCCAGCAAAACCCTACCTCCTTCACCTCATCCACCCCATCCCAGGGGAGATTAGGCACCTCCTAATAGGTTGCAGCAGCCCCCAGGGGATAGGTTTTCAGGGTGCCACTTCCTTCCACTAGAATTGGATTGGGATTAAATGAAGAGAATCTGTGATAGATTACAATGTCTGGACTGAGATTAGGGCTAGATACAGAAAAGCTATATCTACACTGGCAGCTTCTTGCACAAGAACAGCTGTTCTTGTGCAAAAACTTGCCTGCTGTCTACACTGCATGTGCATTCTTGTGCAAGTAAATTTACAGTACAGTGTTGTAAAACAGGGCTTCTTCCAGAAGAGTTATTCCTCTCCCCACGAGGAATAAGCCGTCTTGCGCAAGAGCTCTTCCAGAAGAGGCCAGTGTAGACAGGCAACATGAATTTCTTGCTCAAGAAGTCCCTATGGTTAAAATGGCCATCAGAGCTTTCTTGCGCAAGAGAGCATTCACACTGCCATGGATGCTCTTGCGCAAAAGCACATGCCAGTGTAGACGCTCTCTTGTGGAAGAGTTTTTGCACAAGAACTCTACCGCAAAACAGTTCTTGCACAAGAAGCTGCCAGTGTAGACATAGCCTAAGTGTGGATTGGGGATAGATTAAATAGTCTGGATAGGGATTAGGGCTAGATAATGTAGTCCTGAAGAGGGTTAAATAAACACTGATTTCAGACTGGGATTATTTTAGAATAAATACAATCTGTATTACAATGTAGTTTTCATTTTATTGGGATTATGGTTAGTAAAATAAAGGATCTCTCATTTAGGAAAGGATTAAAAATGCATGTAGTCGGGTGGGATTAGATTAAAATAGCCCAGATTGGGATTAGGGATCAGTGAAAAAGGTGGTCTGGGTTGGGATTAGGGCTAGTATTAGAGCAATGGTCTCCAACCTTTTTACACCCAAGATCACTTTTTAAATCTCCAAACAGGTGAAGATCTACGGCCCCACCCCTTCCTTGAAGCCCCGCGCTCTCTATTCTTCTCCTGTCCATCATTTGCTATCCCCAGCCTTTACTTACACACTCTGATAAACAGTTTATTTTTAAATTATGCAATGTATAAAATTAAAATCACGTGTTTATAGTTATGAAATAAATGGTCTGTTTTTTATTCATGCTATTTAAATCTAAAATGAAGCATTTATAATTATACATTTTGTGGGGATAGAGTTCTGCAGCTGGGGGCAGGAGAGAGGGAACAGGGTGCTGGGAGGGCAGAGGACAGGGTTCTGCAGCAGGGGACAGAGTTCCAGTGGGGACATGAATAGGGACAGAGTTCTGTAGCTGGGAACAGGGGAGTGGGAACAGATTTCTGTGGCTGGGGACAGGAGAGTGGGGACAGAGTTTGGGGAGTGGGGAACAGAATTCTGTGGCTGGGGACAGGGGAATGGGGACATAGTTCTGGGAGTGGGGACAGGGGAGTGGGGACAGAGTTCTGTAGCTGGGGATGGGAGTGGGGACAGGAGAGTGGGGACAGAGTTCTGTAGCTGGGGACAGGAGAGCAGGGACAGTGTTCGGGGAGGGGATTGGGGACAGAGTTCTGTAGCTGGGGAGTAGGGTGCCAATGGAGGCAGAGAATCCCCTGCATCTGCTTCCCAGGATCCCACCCCCCCGAGGGAAACCAGCACATGCCTGCCCTGGGGCTGACCCACCTGCGGCGCAGGGAAGCCATGCATGCGCACGCCTGCCTCCAAGCCAACCCCCCCAGCACAGGGAAACCCCGCGCGCGCCTGCCCCTGGGCCAACCCCCAGGCCTGCCCCGGGGCCAACCCCGTGCAGGAAAGCCCCGGCGCCGACCCCCCGGCACAGGAAAACCCCGCGTGCGCCTCCCCCAGGGCTGACTCACCCCTCCTATGCAGTGCAGGGAGCCGATGCTCCCTCCCGCAGTACACCCGGCAGAGCAGCTAGCGCTACTTCCGGAATCGCTGAAGTGGCACTAAGCTGCGGGACTTCTGTCCATCCCTGGGAAGCTGACACTACCTCCATTTTCACTTGAGGTAGATAGTAGGGCTTCTTGGGGGTGGGAGGGAAATGGGGGCAGGGCGGAGCAGACAGGACGCCTCACAATCGACTGGTCGAGGCCTCATGATCGACCTGTTGGTGACCACGGTATTAGAGAGAGGTAGCCAGCTTCACAGGTGATTAATCAGCCCCACCCAGTCAGTCAGATCCATGCACTGAGCCCCTGACTGGGTGGGGCTGATTAATCACCTTTGAAGCTGGGCTGCTGCAGTTTAGAGGGAACACTGCTCAGGGCTAGATCAAATGAGTTTGGATTTGGATTATGGTTAGAAAAAATATGCAGATGATTAAATGGCCTGGTCCTAGTTTAGGATTGGGGCAAAACGGTGAGAATATGGCTAAAGGCTAGATGGGGTCAGGGTTGGCTGGGGACATCTGTATTAGGATTAGATGTGGCCTGTGACAACATCAACATTATAGATGTGGTAGCAGAAAGTGATGAAACCAATATTCCTTTAACTTGTAAGTAAAGAAACAATAATGATCCCTTATCATTTTAGCTACAATTTAGGTGTTGCTTAGTAAAGCTTTATTCTAAGTAGAGGGCACTATGTAGGAGAAACACACAGTGCTGCTAGGTAGCCATAAAGCCTTTCAATAATCTAGATTAAGATCTGGATTAAGGTTAGAGGTGGAATCAGAATGAGGTTTTGAAGGTGGGTTGTGGATTAGGGGTTGGAGAGCACGAGTTTGGTCTAGAGTTAGATGGCGAAATCTGGATTATCTTTCGGGCTAGTATGAATGTAGGATCGGGAACATTAGGACTGGGGTAGATGAGTATCTAGATTGGGAATTGATCTTGGTGAGGGCTGAATTAGGTTTAGAGTTAATGAAGATTGGCTGTCCCCTAAACTCTGACTCCAAACCAGTCCCCCCCCCAACTCCAGGTGACCTGCCCCTCCCCGATTGGCACAGGTGGCACTGGCCTGGGGCTGCAGGGAGATGAAGTTCATGGTGGCAGAATGGAACAGCCAGGCACTGGTGTGGTACCGGCACCTTGGGACAGAGGGCAAGACGGAGGCATACGGCTGGCATGGCTTTGAACTGGAAAGTGAGTCCTTGTACAGGCTGGCAGGGTATTTGGGGCCTGATCAGCCTCTGGGCATCCCCCAGAATGGCACAGGGTCCAGATAGTGATCCACCGCCTCGTGGAGCAGGGCAGGGCACAGCCAACACCAACGGGCAGCGGCTACATAACTAACCCAGTCTGACTGTCCCCACAGTGGTGTCCTGGGTCCATTCCCCTCCTAGCCCACAGTCCTCTACCATTGTCCCATCCATCCCTCTACCACCTGCTCATCCACTCGTCCCCCCATCTGTGGGAGCTGTGTGGCCAGACCCCTCACCATACCATGTGGGAGAATAAACGCAGCCTGGATGGGGGCTGGGCCACAGGGAGACAGTCGTGTCTTGCACTGGTTTCCCAACTTTGGAAAGCGTCTATGAATGCAGATGAAACACCTGGCCCAGCCTGGCCCGAGCAGTCCCCCCAACCCCACTGGGCAACCTGGTGGGTTGGTTAACCATAGTTTGACCAGTTAACATTTTAAATGGGGTTCCCCTCCCAGAGTCAGAGAGAGAGTCCTGGGTCCCAATCCCTGCTCCCCTGACACCAGGGTGACTCAGTTACTGCAGGGATGCTGGTTGGGACCCTACACTGCTCTTAACAGCAGGGGGCAGTGGGAGCTGTGGGGGTGGGCACAGCTGGTGCTGAGCCCTAACAGCCTGGGGGAAGTCCGTAGCCTGTCACGTACTCTGTGGCCGCTCCCCCTGCTGGTATAAACAGGTCACAGGTGCCAACTCCAATCCATCAGGGCAGTGGGGGGCTTCAAGGGGGGCTCTTGCAGCTCTCCCTCCTCTGTGGCTCTGTTCCCCTCTCCCCCTCCTTTCTCCAGGTCTTGGCAGGCTCCCAGCCCCCGTGGTCTAACCTAGTGTTTCTCAACCCTTTTTTATAAAGTACCTCTTTTTGAAAAATAAATAAGTACCCCCAGTATTTACAGTTTTCAGGCACATAAATTTTTTTTCTACCATTGCAACGTATTTGTTTAAACAACTTTATCGTAGCTGGGCGGGCGATGAAATTTTTGGGTGTAAAAAGTACAAAAATAATAAAGTGCTGTAAAACTTAAAACAAAAATTCAGTTTTCTCCAAATGTCAGTTGTGTTGACGTACCCCCCAGACTTCTCTCAAGTACCACTAAGGGCACTCGTACCACTGGTTGAGAAACACTGCGCTGACCCACCAGCCCCCACTTACCTCCAGAGCCAGGCAGAGAACCCAGGAGTCCTGGCTCCCAGCAGCCCTCCCCCCATAACCTGGCAGAGGGGAGTCTATGGAATGGGGCAAGTGGAGGGGTGTGTGATGCCCTCGTTCTGTGCCGTTCTGCCACCATCATTGGACTGGGGAGGCAGCCTCTCAGGGAGGGGAGTGCAGAAGACACTTTGGCAGAGATGCCCCTCAGCCGAGACCAGATTCCTGCTTTGTTCAGCTGCAGACAGATTGGGGATTGGGGTGCGGGGAGGCTGTGACTTCATCTCTCCTCTTTTCCCCTCCCTCCTCTCCCCCGCTGGGAGCAATTAAGGAAAAACTCATCATGTTTCATAGTTAGCAGCAGGAAGTTTGGGATGAGCACCATTAACCCTCCTAGCACCAGCACTAAGAGTACTGAAATGGGGGGGCAGAGAGGGGTCATCCTCTAGTGGGGAAAGAGAACAAAGCTGGGGTCATAAGTGGCTGTGTGAGACTCCACTCTCCTCCCAAAGACAGGGAGAAAACCCAGGAGTCCTGGCTCCCAGCCCATGCCCCTGACTACCTACTTGACCCCATTCCCCTCCAAGAATTGGGTTCTCTCTCCAGCTCCGGGAGTGGGGTGGAAGCTGGTGGTTAGAGCAGAGGGCATGGGAGTCCCAGATTCCTGAGTTCTCCCCACAGCTACCCATTGGCAGGAACAGATGGGACCCCAGAGACGATGGCTGAAGGTCAGCACAAACTGCTATTTTATTGTCATCTTTGGGAACGGATTATGAAAGTTGAAGAGACCCAACATGGGGACGATAGAGACCCCCTGGGTCAGAGGGTAGGAGGCTGGGACTCCCAGGGACAGAACTAGCAGGAGGTAAGGGTTTTCCAGTAGAAGCTCTTGCAGCCAGTCTTGCGCTCCCGGGGAGATGTGGGGGGTGGGTGCCAAGGGGTGGCCACATCTTGCGGGGGCAGCTCAGCACGGAGGAGTCCAGAGACGGCTCTTAGCACCAGGGTCCTGGACAGTGCCTGGAAGGGTGGGGGAGACCAAGAGTCACCCAAATTCCCTCCACAGAGAGAACACAGCCCCTCCCCCCTCACTCTGACCACCAGCCCCTCCTCTCCTCCCATAGCCGGGGCGAGAACCCAGGTGTCCTGGCTCCCAGTCCCCAACTCCCACCTCTATCCAACACCCTTCCCCTTTGTGTAAGCCCTGAATTAAGCTGAATTCATCTCGTACCTGACTGGGAGACCCCAAAACAACTCCCAGAGCCCTCCCTTCCAGATCCCAGCTTTGTAGCCGGTGCTAGTTCCGGGCTGGAGTGGAGAAGAGAGGAATAAGGGAGCTGGGTTGGGATACATCTGGAGGGTACCTGGGAGAAGTGGGGGAAAGGTAAACTGCTCGGCCCACCCCATGACTCCTCTTAGGGTCCATCCTGATTAGGAAACAGAAGGTCCCCATCTGACCACCCTCCTTGGTCATCAGCCTCCCCTCTTTAGGGTCTCTGCCTTCAGTGCCTCCTCTCTGTGGCACTCGCAATCTCAGTCTATGCAGCCACCACAAACTACCCCCTCAGGCACCTGCAATTTTTGCATGGCCCTTGTATACTGCCATGGCAGCCCCTGCAATGCATTGGCCCTCAGTCTACCTGGAGCCTCCCACGTTCTCTAGTGCCCCGTGGCACCTCAGTCTACCTCCCCAATCTCTATAGCTCACCAGGACACCCCAATCTATGCAGACCCCCAGTCACCTCTAGAGTACCCCAATTCCTGCAGAGCCTCGAGCAATCCTCATGCAAATCCTGCCACCCCCAATTTGTCACACACCAGGGGCACCCCCATTTTTTCCACAGCCCCCAATGCACTTTTAATGCTCAATCTACATAGGTCCCCCAAACTCTTGTGGGGTGCAGCCGTTATACCCCTTGCCTTCCCCAGGACCCCTCAGTTTATTACAGCTCCTCCATCATATCTGAGGCACCCCCTAATCTATGCAGCACCCCAACCACCCAGTGGAGCACTCTAGTTTCTATGTAGCCACCCAAGGCCCCCCAAATTACATAGCATCCCCTAACCTCCAGCACCATTCCACTCCATCCCTTCTCAATCACTGCAGGACCCCCAGTCCCTGCAGCTCCCCCAAATTCTCTCCCCCTGACCAGACCTCCTTAAGCTTACCTGGCTCCCCAGGTGGGGGAGACGGGGATGGGGGGCTCTGGCAGGCATGGGGCTCCCAGGGTGCAATGCAGTGCTGGCGAGGAGGAGCAGGATGAAAAGTAGGTATCCCATGGTGCTGAGGCTTCCCCCAAAACCAAACCACCAGACACTAAGCTGGAAAGCAACAGAACTTGTGTGTGACCCATCCCCCCTAGCCCTGCCTATTATACATCTCCCCCCTCCCGGAGAGAGCAGAAGGGGGCAGCCCAGCCAATGCGCTGCTGGCGAGGGGCGGTGGAGAAGCAGAAGGTCCAAAGGTGGGAGGGAGGAAGGATGAGAAGAAGAGAGGATGGGGAGGACAGGTGAAGGGGAGTATTGGGAGCTGGCTTGAGGGGCAGCCACAGGCATGGTGGATTGTGTGAGGAGGTCCCCTCCTTGTTCCCCCTCAGTCATGGTGAACAAGTCAGGGGGAGGAGGGGCAAGGAAAGCAATGGAATCAGAATGGGAGTGCTGGGGCTTCATTTGTTGGTATATGCAATCATCCCAGCAAATCACCCCCAAACACGCCAGCATGGGCACAGTTGGGGGTCACTGAGCGGCATGCCACCAGTTTGAGGTCTCACGCTCTCCGTGCTCGAACAATTCCCCATGAGAGATGTGACAAGCAAGACAGCCACCATAGGGAAAGTCTCTTATGGCCGGCTGGCCAAAAAGAAGCCAAATCCCATTTGTGAAAATGAGTAGCAGCTGAAAGTGCGCACTTTCATGACTTCACTGCAACTAAGAGAACGCAATCCAAACCAACATTCCTACACAGCTGTGCCTGCAGTGCTTCACAAGGGCTGTTTCCCAAAGTAGAAATCCATGAGTCACCAAATCAGCCAGGAAGGAATCTGAATGGATCAGAAAAACCACAACTACAACTTGGGGGTTGTTTAAGAAAGCTTTGCTATGGGCCACACTGGAGGGGAAAGAAGACAGCTACATTACAAAAAACCTGACCCAGTTTGAAGGGGAAAAGGAAGGCAGCTATAAAGAGGAGCCTGTAATGCATGGAAAAAAGGACAGATCAATATAAAACAAAAGGGAGGAATTGTAGAACATTGGTAAGGGAAGCAAAAGATATGCAACAACTTCCATGGCTCACAGAATTAAGGACAATGAGTTTGTCTTTAAATGTACTACGGCAGACAGACATCTAGGAACAAAGATACTCAGAGCCCTGTGCAGATACAAAACTTGTATCCACCTCCGCAAAAGTGAGCTACAGATATCCACATCCATGGTTGCAAATAGAATGGATATAAAGTGGATAGCTGCAGCTCGTAGGGCTCTAAAGATACAGGTTAGGGTCTTTTATCCTGGGAATCAGGGGCCCTGAGATTTGGGTGTTGTGATGGAGGAGCAGCTGAAGGAGGAGCTGCTAGTGCTAGGCTGTGGCTAAAAATGTGAATGTGCTCCTGGGACAGATCAACTGGAGCATGTGGAGCGGTAGCAGAGAGGTGGCTCTAATGCCCACAATTAATGGAGAAAGGGGCTAAATTGGAGATGGAAAAGAGCCTTGTGGAGTATTAAAAAAATCCAGGACAGACTCAAAAGATCATCAGTGATTTATAGCTTAAGATTAAGGAGCGAGTTGATCCCAAAGATTTGTAATAAAAGACTCCCTGGTTGAGTGAAAAAACATCCCAGGGGAGCCAACAGCGGGACATCCAAGCTGGGCTAATTCAGGGGAGACAGAAGGTATCAGTTTTTGACTGAAATGAACCCGCTGGTGATTTGTACATTGAGACGGGACATTGTCTTCGAAGACCTGTGGGAGGGAAGATTTCAGGGCAGGACTCTAGCCTAGGAGGTACAGGTCAGACCAGACCACACACATCTGGGCCTTGGAACCTTCCCTAGTGCAACTGTAAACACAAGCACAGTGAGTTGCTGGTCTCTACATGGACCCTTACACCTACCAACTAACGGTCTGTTATAGTGCCTGGCTGCCCCCAGCTATAGCTTCCTCCCACAGCAAGAGACAACCCCCACACATCTGCCAGAGCCAGGGAGAAGATCCAGGAGTCCTGGCTCCCACCCCACCTGCTCTAACCCACCAGCTCCCAGAGCTGCAAAGGGAACCCCAGTAACACCTCTGAACAAAGGAAGGCAGCACACATGACCACTTTGTTGCCAGGAGTGAAAAAAAAATCTTTAATCCAGCGGGCCCCCCCCTCTGAAAGGGAGAGGGAAGTTTACAGAGGAGGGAGGCAGAGAAGCATGCATTAGAAATTAGTGGTGATGAAGGAACCTTCTCCTCCAGCCCAAGAGTCCTGGCTTGCAGCCCTTCCCACTCTAACCACTATTCCACTGCTCCCCTCTGAGAGCCAGGGAGAGAACCCACACATCCTGATGTCACCTGTAACACCAGCTGGGGGTTGTTAATGGTGTAGTATCATCTGCCCTCCACTCGGCCCATGAGACCAGCTCAGGGTGTGAAGGGCCCTCCCCAAAATAAGTGAGGTATCGGCTTTTCCAGGAGAAGTGCAGCCCCCGTGTCCCTCAAAGAAACCGTGACATAGCATTTGAGGGGAGAAACCCCTGGAGTTGGGAAAAATCACCCCCATGAGAAATACTGTACTGGGGAGACTTGCCGATTGAAGAGGCAATTGACCCCTTCTAGAAATACTGGCAACTCCCCTCCCCATTATAATTGGATACACCTCAGCTGGTAGAGGAAGGCTGGTGCAGGACACACCCTGAAGGGACAATCCTGTTTGATCCCCCCCCACCCCCCAGGGCACAGCAAGAAGGGAGCAGGGCCAGGAGAAATGACAACCCATGGGGAAGGGGCAAAGGGAAAGTGGCAAGAGAGGAAATTGGGAGGGGCCAGAGAAGTAGACAACTGGAGGTGGGACCAAGAAGGGCTGTGAGTGGCCTGGGAGAAATGTGGGAGGGGGAAAAGGAGATGGCTGGCTCCCTCCGCTGCTACAAAGCCCCACCCCTCTTTGTACCAATTGGGATGGAGGTCTCCAGAGAGCCAGCCACCCCATATCACAGCAATGTAACCGCCCTGATGCTGTCCCCCCCGCCAATCCCAGCCTGGTTGGCATTAGGGGCCCAGGAATCGGGGAGGCACAGTTAGCTCAAGCTGGAGGTGGGGCTGGAGCAGAAGGAACCCAAATTAACAGCTGTGGGCAGAGCAGGGATTGTGGGGGTGCAAGTGGGCTGGGGCCCCCCAGGTAAAGAGACAAAGGGGGCATGGAGGGGGGAATAGAAAGCAAAGGA